TCTCATAGACACTCTTGGGGTTACAGGAGTTGTCCGGTGGGGACTTAGCCTGGGAGGAAATCAGGCTGCCCTCTCCATGAGCCCCTTGTGGGCATGGCCCAGCATTCGCTGGAGACACGATGGGGGGCATCTGGGCAACTGGTGGTGGTGGTGGTGGAAGAGGAAGGCCCTGGGAACAGCCTCCCTCACAGGCCTGCGTGCCCCCAACCACCTGGGCAGCCATAACAGGCACCACAGGAGTAGCTGCCAGGAGTAGGGGAGGCGGACACACGACACCTCCACAGAGGGTGCCTGGAGCCTGCCAAACGAGGGGGGCCTGAGTTAGGACCAAGGTCTGCGCCTGAGGGGCCTTCACAGGCCCCACCTCTGTCCTCATCTGGACAAAGACGTTGGAAGCCGCGGCCCCACTTGGGCCGTGGCCATCCTGTCCTGCCACCAGAGATGTGCTGGGGAAGGCAGGCAGCACCAGTGGGCCGCCTGTAGGAACCCCTGCAGTCATGAGGGGTGGCCCCTGTGCTGGGCCGGGAGCAGGTGTGGCGAAGGGCAGAGTCGTGAACACAGACAGGGAGGTGCCAGGGTTGATGGTCACGCCTGGTCCCAGCACTGGGTATGCTGTGGAGACAAAGGAAAGAGGTGAATGAGCTGGGGTCTCCAGGCCCACACTAGTCACTGGGGAATCAGAGGGAGTCCCAACAGCTGAGGGCATGTGACAGGGAAACTGTGCAGCTTGCAAGTGTCCCTGAGTGTGCATCGTATGCTCTCTTCATCCATGGGAGAGTCGCTCCACTAGAGAGCCTGGCCCCGGACACCAAGACTACCTGACCCCTGTCCCCCAAGAAGCAACAGCTAAGCCTTCGCTGCCCAAGGGTCTCCTTCGGGTGTCCCTGGCAGACCCTGTCAGCCTCACAGGATCTCCCAAGCCATGGGTCAGGGATGATTCTCTCAGCAGCTTGGTGGTCCTCAGCGTGCTCAGCAACAGGTGAGGGGCCTACCCTAGGGCAATGCTTGGCACTCAGAAGGCCAACAGGAAGTCAGGAGCTTCTGAATATTATGGCCCCATCTCCTCTTCAATCAGCCTTTTCCTGAAGGTCTTGTAAACCCCTGTCTTTCCTAGCTCAAACACAACAGAAGAAAACCACTGGATGGAAATCTTTCCCAAGCCAGTGCCCTACGAACCCTGAAGATAATCCATAACTCGTCATGCCCAGCATACAAGTGATTGTCCTGGCACCACCAACAGCAAGTGCTAAAGAGGGGTTGGATTTGGCCCACCCTTTCCTCAGTGCTTGAAGGTCCCAGCTGCCACTCAGGAAGCTCTGTTCCCAGGGAGAGGTCTGAGAGGCAGTGGTGGAGTCCCCTGAGATAGTGTCACTGCACAGCCAGCAACAGCTGCACACGATTAGAACACAGCCAGCAAATGGTGAGCAGCAGGGCTATCAGGGGAGGTGTCTAGGCATTTTCACAGCTGCTGCTCAGGTGACAATAGGTAGTGGGATAAGGAGCCCATCTCTGGTCCTTCTCCTTTGAGCTCCCAATAACTGAACATAGTGGCCAACCAAGAACAAGAGGTTCTTGGGCCATGGGCCAGGGAAGGCAAAGTTGTTTGGAACTCCTCTGTATTCACTAGCACCTCATGCAGTCTCTAGTCAAGGGGAATAAGGGATACAGCACATGCACCCCATCATTCACGACGCACATCCTAACTTGAATAATAATATTAAGAGAACCATCTTCCTATTTGTGTGCTACTCTCATTCCTCTACTTCCTCTACTCTAGGAGTAGAGGAAGGAGTAGAAACCAGCCTTTCCAGACCCTTCCACTGAGAACCAGCAAGAATCCACACCTGTCCCCCATGCATGAGGCTGTATAAATGGAATAGGAGCAAATTCTTCATCTCCACAGTAACACAAAGTGCAGAGGACAGGCCATGAGCTAGCAGACAAGAGGAAGTGGGTCTGAAGACCTGAGCTTCCACAAAAGGGCAAGCAATTCAGAACGACTCAGGAAGCCCAGGCCCTGTGTTGCCTGAACTTCCCCATCTGCCCCTAACCCCTGTTAAATCAAAGCCAACAGCTACCTGAACTGACAGAGAAGCCAACTCTGGGAGGGAGCTGAGAGGCTCCGGGCTGTGGCAGTTACAGTAGCCCCCAGGCTCGCTCACCCAGAGGTTGTCACTACAAGGTCTGTCACAGTCAACCCACCCAAGAGTTTTCCGGCTGAGACCACTTCTCCCCACTCCTCCCTAAGATCTAGAAGACTCCAGTCTAAATCCCTCTGAACACTATGGAAGGACACCTTCCAGGTGCCTGAAGATACGGCACAGGACTCAGGCTTGCCTGTCATCCTCCCGGGGCCACCAGCACAACAAGATCCCACCACTCTCTACAAACACATAATGACATGACCTGTCTCCCTCTAGAAAGGATCAATCCATCCACTCCAACCTTTCCCCTACACGGTGTATTCCCCCAAGCATCTTGGTCCACCTCTAAGGATTTGTCCTCCCTAACCACAGACTCAGGGTGCCATGGCCATCCCCAGGTGTGATGTCCTCGGGGACATCCAGTGATCCCTCCCTCCTCAACATCAGCCCTATCAACTGTCCCCAGGGACAGTGTCAAATTTGAATTCCCAAGGAGTTGAGGCATGGCAGACTCAGATAATGCCCCCATCCCTACAGGCTCACCTCCATTTGAAGCCATCCCCTCAGGCTGGGCACTGACCACCGCTGTCTGGCAGTTTCCGCAATGAGAAAAGTCAAGGGTAGGACCAAGAGAGTGATCTGGCTCAGCAGTTGCTCCTGAGTCCAAGTGGAGCAGGGAAAATTTGAAAGTAAATAGGTTTGGAACATAGGCCCCCAGACATTCTGCAGAGGGGGAGGGGCAGTGGGCAGCTGGTAGGGGTGGGGGACATTCTGTGAAGGGCTTCAGCCATTAGGCAAGAACCTGAGTTTCCCTTCCAACTGGACGGCAGCAACACAGATGGTGTGCATCTCTTTAGGCAACTTTCAAATTGTCCCGACTCACAGCAAAAGCTTACACCTGATTTCCCCTTTACTTCCATTCTTTATCCAGAGACCTACTTTTGTGCCAATCAACCCATGCTCCTTCCCACTTTGGCTCTTTCCCACTCTTGATGAATTTCAACAGGGGATGCACTTCCTGAACACAATTCAGAACATGTTTTCAGTCTGAAAACACAGGGGTTCTTAGGAAGGCAAGGGGACTGGGTTTTTGAAATCAGGATGGTCTCAGCTGATCCAGGCTATTAGGTGGTTGTCTGCTCATCATTGTTTTAGAAGCAATCCTTGTGCCCCCAGGTCATGTATGTTGCTAGAATCTCTGTCCACACCAGCAGGCCAGGCTTACTTCCCATCCCCTTTGCTGGAAAGCCTCAATCCAGGAAAGAGTGGCTATGCGACCTATAGCACCAAGACCAGAAATCCTTTCATTTTGTTTCCCAGCATACTGTTCCCAGCTCACTGTTGGCTTCATCATGTTCACCATACGTTCTTGCTGTTTGGAATCTAGTGTCATCGCACGTGCTCCTCTGCGTGGGAATTATTGTAGCCTGTCTTTAAAAAAACTTCATTCTCATTTTCACACTGAGAATCACAGTCCATTTATCAGCGTCAAAATGACAGGAAAGAACACTCATGTTCTGTGTTGTGAACAAGGGGAGTGTTAGGAAACCGGTCAAAGGAGATGAGGAGTGAGTACTCAGAGCACAGCAACAAAATCTTCCGAGACACACACGTCACTCCCTGCTGGGCGGGGTAATTTTGCACTGATTGGAGGGTGTTGGGGAACGGAAGAGGCCTTCAGCCAGACCGGTGCACATTGCTAACATTCACTGAAACACATCCTGTTGGCACTTACGAAGCGTTTACCCCTTTTGAAGACATTTGGACTCAAGAAGGCAGAGTTACAGGAAAATGTAATAAGGACCACACTGCAGGGGCAGGCGGTGGATTGCAAGTCTCAAGCCCAGGGTTCTCCCCTCCTTGCCCCAGTTGTGTGAGGTCATTTCCTAACTCCTATCCAATATGCTCATGAATTGTTGGTTTTGTCCCAACTCTAAACCTGAATGGTCCAGCAAGCATTTCTATGAAATGCCTCCACAGTGGCCACTGGGAGGGGAGTGACCTCCACATGGTGACTGCCTGTCTGGGTGCTACCAGGCCTTTTGTCCTCTGAGACAGAACTGTCTTCTTACATGTAGCCCTCTTCTGCTGTGCAACTCTATCTCGATCTTAGCTGAGAAGATCAACGGAGAGCAATTCAAGCAAAATCATGGTAAACTTGACAAAACAAAACAAAACAAACCATAAATGCTTTGGAGATCTTTCTGAGGACTACACCTTTTATCACGGGGCAAACTTAAATGATTTTCAACCAATAACTTCATCTAAGAGGGATGTTGAGGCAAAAATATCATACTCAGAATTCTTGGTTGCTTCCTCCCTTGTCAAGTCAGTCAGCAGATGCTTTCTCAAGATTCGCACACACGGCTTTGATACAGGATTTGAATGAGTCTTTTTCTCACCAGTATACAAAAAATATACTGTGGAACAGTGTCTTGTCTCAATTCTGCAATCACTGCTGTACATGTCTGAAGTCCTAGACCCCAGGAGGATAGACAATCAAATTAGCCAAAGGTAATTTGTGAAGACTGACCATGGGAGGTGGTGGCTAGAAGTCCTCTGGCCGCTGCTCTCTGAGCATGCCCATAGAAAGTCCTGGGCTTGGATCCCCTGTTCAGAGGACACATGTTCTTCCACCCCATCAGGGAACAGTAGAGGAATGGCGGCTCCATGCTGTGTCCTGCCCAGCTCTCAGTCTCTGCACTTGAGGCCCTGGGCCAGCGTAGACGTGAAGGCTCTTCATTGTTATCACATGGAGACAGATGATAAGAATCCTGCAAATGAGCAGAAAGGATGTGACGATTAAAGTTTCTTCTGAAGCTATTACAAACTCAAGTCACTGAGTTGCTTCTCTACTAGTTTTTTCTTGCCCACTGGAATTCTGCACTGTGTTGCAGAGTCGGGGGTGGGGGAGTGTGGAATCATTCCCTTACTATCTGCTGCTCTGTCAACTGAAATTGATCAAAGCTATAACAAAAACATTTCTAGAAATCATTTGAATGCGGTAGGAAAAACTCTGGGAATGGAGTCAGAAGAAGGTATATTTTGGAGTGTGTTTTCAGGTCTAAACTTCTTTGCCAGAAATGTTCCTTAATGGAATCTCCAGACTGAGTAGGAAAACAGGGCATACTATTTTTTGAAAGGAATGAGCAGGAATGAAATAAATGCAGTCCAAAGGGAATGCAAAACATGCACTTTGAGGATACTTTGCTTTAGGATAAACCCTCCAAAGGTAAACCTTTCAGCAAGAGTGTTACCTAAGTGCATGGACTGCAGGTTTGTATTACTGAAAACTGGGAGTGGCCGTTGCAGATGCACTGGTTTCTTAGAGGCAGGTCATGGAGGTTCAAATGAGGAGGCCTTGCCTGGCCCCAGGAAGCACCCAGGTGCCTCCTCCCTCCATTTCCCCATCTCCAGTGGGGCGCTCCCAGGGCAGGCTCCAGGCCTGCCCCGTGCGCCTGCGCAGGAGACTTGGGGCAGGCGGGGTTCCAGCGCGCCGCGGGCGCTCTCAACCGCTCTGAGGGTCTGTTGCTGGCGGTTCATGGCGGGGAGAGGAGCAGCGCGAGAGCAAAGGGCGGTTACCAACGGCCTTCGCTCTCATGGCGTCCTTCTTGGTGTTACCTAAAAATAAAACCAAGTGTGATCAGAAGGTAATCGCCTCCTGGTCATGCTCCCACTGGTCACCAGTGTCCGCGGGGCGACCCCACATTGTGGCCAGAGCAGGCCTGTGGCGGCGCTCAAGGCGGGAGCTTTCATAGCTTTTCGGTGGGGCGGGGGGCCCTGCGGGACGCCTAGGCCTTGCTCCTTTCCCTTGCTAGCCTGGCCCTGAAGTGAGGGAGGAGGGTTTAACAATGCAGTGGGAACCCCAGAGTGTGTCTTGGCCGTGCTTCTCACATTCCAATCAATGCAAAAGCTTGAGGAAAACCTCAGCAGTTGAAACCGTGATGCAGTTCAACAAAGTAGTTCCTGTCCTCGTAAAATCAGTGAAGTTCTCACGGATGACCTCATTGAGTAAGTTGTGAAGCTTGTTGACTTGATCAGAATGATCAGCCAGCATGCATGTTCTAATACACTCATTTGTCAATGATATGAGCAGCTGCGAAGTGGAAGAACAGGCCATTAGTCATAGTCTGTTCACTTAGTAGCACAAGTTGTGGATACAAGAGTGTGGCCAAAGTCAAGAAAAGTTTGTGTAAGAATCGCTTACTTATGTGGAATTTACAAATAAAAAGTAGTGGTATATTATTTGTAAATTGTAGGCTACACATGTATCTAAAATTTACCGCACACACGTATGTATCTTGGGTGGTTGGGTTAGTGTGTACTTGAGAATGTCAGGAAGATTTATTTTGGATTTTGGAGGGTGTGAGATTTGTGGGGGTGGTTTTGTGTATGTGAAAATGTGTTTATATGAATTCTTAGTTTGGAATTTGATATGTATTTAACTGGCGAGAATCTAATATGTATTCACATGTGTGGGTTGGTAGTGTCTATCTGGAGATTGCAGATTAAAGATGGTCATAAATGGGCCGGGTGCGGTGACTCACGCCTGTAATCCCAGCACTTTGGGAGGCTGAGGTGGGTGGATCACCTGAGGTCAGGAGTTGGAGACCAGCCTGGCCAACATGGTGAAACCCCGTCTCTACTAAAAATACAAAAATTAGCTGGGTGCGGTGGTGCATGCCCAGCTACTTGGGAGGCTGAGGCAGAAGAATCACTTGAACCCAAGAGGCGGAGGTTGCAGTGAGCCCAGATCGTGCCACTGCACTCCAGCCTGGGCAACAGAGCGAGACTCCATTCCCCGCCCCCCAAAAAAGAAGGTCATAACTGTTTTTGTGAGAGTGTATAGGAGTGAGAGTTTATATTTGGAGGATATGAGATGTAAGATATGTATACCAGAAGAATTGGGGTTAGATATTTGTGATTTGGGTTGTGAAGATGTATTTTCCATGTGTTTTCTCAGATGAATGTTGGGGATTTGTATTTGTCTAATGTTTGGCAGATTTGGAAGAATTGTCTTGTGCACATGGGCAATAATAGAGAAAGCGCTTGTGTCTATTTTTGTGGATGTACACTGTGGTTTACGTATTTGGGAAATGTAGGAAGACCATTTGTGTACTCAGGACATGTTGCATGATGATGCGTGTTTCTTTGTATGATTTTCAGGGGGTGTGTATGGCTATTTCAATGTGTGAGGGCAGATCCGTGTCTACTGGGGGACTGGTAGGATGAATGTATGCAGTTGTGAGGTGGAATTTGTATGATTCTGTGTCTTGGAAGATGGAGTTATTTCTGTGTGAGCATTTGGAAGTATGATTACGTATGTGCCGGTATTGTGGAACTGTATGTGTATTTGAGGATATGAGGTGGCATGTTTGCATATTTGTGGCGTGTTAGTTACTTGTGGGTATATTTAGGGCATGTAGAGAACTACATGAGTATTGAGTTTGTGTGTTCAAGGGCATGGCAGTTTCGATGAATGCTTTGTGGAGCTATGTGCTTGTATTTTTCAGTAAGTGGTTATTAGGGTTGTATATTCTGGGAATTTAGTATATGTGTGTCTGATAGAGAAATGGGGTTCTCTTTTTATACAGGAGAGTGAGAGAGTTGAATTTATATCTATTAGAGGTGTGTGATATAGTTATTGATTAGTACTTGGCAATGTGGGAGCTGGTTCATACTAGATTGGGATAATTTGGGATTGGGAAGTGTTTTTATGGATATTCATAAATGATAGGCTAGAGATATTTCTGTGCATCTTGGATATGTATACTGGTTTGTGTATATATTCATCAGCAGATGGATGAATTATCTAAGTCTATTTATAGAATATGGGATTGTTAGTATTTAAAGTGTATTTCTTTGGAGAATGCTAGGGTGTTTGTACATGTGTTTGGGCATGTTTGGGGGGATGAAGTGAGGAGGTTGTATTCCGGAGATGTAGCATATTGATTGGATAGTGTTTCGGGGGATTTACACATTCAGGGATTGGGGATATTTGCGTGAGTGTGTATGTGCCCATGGGTATATGAAAGTTGTGTGTGTATATGAGAGTTTTATTGGTGTTTTTGTGGGGTTTTTTGGTGTTGTATGGGTTTTATCTGGGAGGGTGGGGTGTGTATTCATGGGTAGTTTGTGAGTGTGTATATGAGGGGTTTGGGGTATATTAAGACTTAGTGGTCCTCTGTGTCTGTTGTGAAATGTAATGCAGAATTTGTTGTTGCCACTCGTATGTGTGTTCTCAGTGTTTGTGAGGTGGACTCATATGTATTTGATAAAAGTAGTTTGTGGTTCTGTGTGTATTTGAGTTTATGGGGCTTCTGTATTTTGTACTCTGGGAGATGTGGGAGGTTCAGTGCATGTATTTGGAAACAGAGAGGCTGTGTAGGTTGTGTTTGCATTCAAGAATCATGGATTTCTGTATTTTAGAGCTGTGGGATTGTATGTGATTCTTTTTCTGGGTGATGCCTGACACAAGTGTTGTATACCTTGTGATTTTTTTTAGATCCTATGCTTACAGGATTTTCATTATGTACATTATGTACTATTAACAAATGTACTGAAAAGGATTTTCTTAAAAAAACAACAAAAGAAAAAAATAGAAATTTGATTCCAGTGAGCTGTTTGTAAATCAAGGAAAAGTAGTTTGTGGTTCTGTGTGTATTTGAGTTTATGGGGCTTCTGTATTTTGTACTCTGGGAGATGTGGGAGGCTCAGTGCATGATTAAACAGAGAGGCTGTGTAGGTTGTGTTTGCATTCAAGAATCATGGATTTCTGTATTTTAGAGCTGTGGGATTGTAATAGTGTGATTCTTTGGTGATGCCTGACACAAGTGCTACACTTGTGATTTTTTTAGATCCTATGCTTACAGGATTTTCATTATGTACATTATGTACACACAAAATGTACTGAAAAGGATTTTCTTAAAAAACAACAAAAGAAAAAAATAGAAATTTGATTCCAGTGAGCTGTTTGTAAATCAAGGAGTCCCAGCCTTCAGTGCAAAACAAAGGTACTTGAAAGAACAAAGAGAGGTATTATCTTTTATAGAGAAAGTTCGTCCTCAGATTCTTAAATCTGGTTCACTATAATGAGGGATACAAGTTGTTTATTTCTGATTGGCTGGATGCAAGTCACAATCTTATTTCTTAAGTCCATATGATTTGTAAATGAAAATTTGATTCAGGTGGCATAAACAGGAATGACAGCTAAAGTCCTGAAGTGACACAAGTACATGGTTTTTGGGTAGGAAGCAGGGTACATGTGTGAGACTTGCAGTTAGCAAATGGCTGCTTGGCTGCATTTTGGAGTTTAGCCCAGTTAGCCACTCATGATTCATCTGAAGGATTAGCTCTTCAGGTTCAAGGTATATATGTGTACTGTGTTCACTATATGTTTGTATTTGACACATATATATGTACATACATGGTTTTAGCAGTGATGTGAGCATTTGGGGCGGGTAGAGTTTTGTCTACAAATTTGAGTAGTTATTAAGTAGTCCATCTACTGTACCATGTCGTTAGGTACAGGTACAGGTAGCAGTTGTGTTGCTGGTGGTCTGTCTAGGTTCTTGACTTTGCTGCACAAAAGAAGTCTTATCAGAGAGCTAGTCCAACATAAAAGTGAGCAAGAGAGATTACTGCAAAGCTAACTGACTCTGGACAGCCGGTCAGAGTGTGCTGCTCAAAGGTGAGACAGCATTGACTGACACTGGGGAAACCTCCTTTATGGGAGCCTTACATGACTATTCATGAAGGGGTGGAAGGATGTCACTGTTAAGCACGCCTGGGTGGTTCTCTGGATGCGATGTTGGTCATGCACACGCTAGTGCCTATATCAGGGAATCATTAACATCTTAAATCTCTACCCAAGGGTGTGTTTTTCACTGTTATAATGAGCATTGGTCAGTTTATAGGACACTAATCACGGGTGTTCGCACTCAAAGCGAATTTGGGGATTTTCCTTCTTCTTTTCCACCTCCTTACTGCAGGACCTCCTTGTGCGCTGGGTTTGATGGTTTGTCTTCATCTGTTTCTTAGTAACTTTGTTCTTCTTTAATGGAGGCTATGACCACCCTATCCTATCTTAGTTGTGTGTGTCTGTTCAGGATACATGAGGAGGTTGTGTTCCGGAGGTACGTAGTTTGGTGGTTTTGTTTTGTATATTTGGGGCAGAGTTGGAGGGTCCTACTCAGGGTGCAGGTAGATTGTGTACACGTATTCCTATGGAAGGATGTGTGATCAGCTGGAGCTGGCTTGTGCTAGCTTGGGGTAGCCTACTAGGTATGGCACATCTTTCCTCAACCTGTGTTCAGTGGCATTAGGTTGGTAGTTTAAAATTAGTCATGCTGAGATATTTACACCACATATGCAGCACAAATCTAGGCTTCCGGTCCTCTGAGAGCATTTTATTAAGCAGTTAGCACATACTCACTGGGGTGGGTGTGGGTGTTTAGATCTGTGGGCAGATGTTTGTATGAAGCAAGAATCTTATATTTTAATGTGGTTGGTTTTTGAGTCTTTTTTTTAAAAATCAAGTCATAGGGAAGGCCCTTCATTACTTTTTAAAACTGTACTGTTTTATGTTACACATTGGCTTCTATATGAAATAATTTTTGTGTATGCTGTGAGGTTGGATGTTAATAATCAT